AGGAATAGGAAATAAACCATCTCCTTTGCTTGGGTATTTATTTATTTATGATGACAGGTGCCAACTGTGACCAATTTTTGCGAGCAGAAACTTTATTTTCTTTTACGTGTTACTTAATCCTTAAATATGTTCTGTTGAATATCAGTTTCTGTCCTTCCAAATGCTTCAGTTTCTTTTTTATTTTTTATTTAATTTCTCGCGGGGGTAGGGGGCGAAGTGGTTTGTGGATCTAATTTTGAGCTGGCCTGATCTTTTAATTTCAACAGATTGTTTTGCAGGCGAATTTTCCTGTTCCCCTTTGGCAGAAGGGGAATTCACCTGTTAACAAGGCCGTATTTCCTTGGGATTTGGGTCATGTTCACTGCTATCCCAGTGATTGTGAAATTATTTTTTGTGACATCAATCTTATTGGACTATCTTTTCACTCCCAAACATCTTCAACTATTACATTCAATCGGGGGAGATACGCTGAGCTAATACACGAGGCACCTGCCTGATCGGATCAGACATCCAACTATCATAAGTTTTCAACACCATACATATGATATTAGTAGAGGAGTCTTTTATTGAAATTAGCAGTCAATTAACACAGAATTTTCCTCCTCCATGGGTTAGCAAATGTTGACATGAAAAGTGATGACAGATGATTGCAGCAATTATAGTAAGATATACAAGTCCTCTCCTATACAACCACTTACTGTTTAAATAGTTGTATACATACTTTTATTCTTTAAATAGTCTCAACTTTAAATTTCAACATTAATATCGAAGGAATGAAGAGAGAACCAAAATCTCACCCTCCACTCAAATAAGCTTATTTGAGGGACGTCGATGTATGGCCCACTTTACATTGTATTTCATTAATCAAACTCGTCTATTTTATAAATAATCATTCAAAGATCATTGCTACCAAAACTCACTTGAATCTGATATCATTTGACTACTCATTTGAGTTATTGAAATTTTTATACTTTCTTGAAACACCATGTTCATTGATTTTGCAGGACACAATTGGATGTCAAAACGGTTTTCGATTTATCTAATTTTTTGCAAGGATGATCTATGAATATAGACTTAACAAATAAATTGTTTGAATCGTTGAAAAAAAAAATCATAAGGGAACCTAAAGGAAGTCATTCATTGATGGATTCCTTAAATTAGCTTAGTTGAGGGATAGTTTTGTATGGCCCACTTCACATTGTATTTCACTAATCCAAACCGTCTATGTTTTAGATAATCATTCAAAGATCATCTTTACAAAAAATCACTTCAATTCAATATCATTTGACCACTCAATTGTGTTATTGAAATTTTAGTACTTTCTTGAAGCACCGTGTTCATTGATTTTGTAGGATACAATTGGATGTCGAAACATTTTCTGATTTGTCTAATTTTTTGCAAGGATGATCTATGAATGTAGACACAAAAAATAGATGATTTGTATCATTGAAAAAATATTTGTAAGGGACCCTAAAGGGTATCCCTCAAATAAATAGAAGGGGACTGTATATATATATATACACACACACACACACATACACAAAGAGCTTCGGTTGAGGGATCCCTCAAATAAGTTTCGGTTGAGAGACACCCTTGTATGGCCCACTATGCATTGTATTTTAGTTATCTAAACCGTCTAGTTTTGAGATATTACCTCAAAGATTATCTCTACAAAGTTTCACTTGAATTCGAAATCATTTGACCACTCAATTAGATTGTTGTTATTTTCTTAAAGTACCATGTTTGTCTACTTTGTTAGTCCCAACTAGATGATTTTCAATTTGCCTTTTGTTTTTTTTTTTTGGCATGGATGATATATTAAGGAAGACTTGCAAAATAGACGGTTTGGATCATTGAAAAAAAAATTTGTAGCGGACCCGAATCCCTCAAATAAAATTATTTGAGAAGAACTGTATAGGCATAAACCCTAAATGAGTTCTTCTCTTATCCGTATGTATGCACATTAGAGTGCTGCTATTTCCACCCACCTGTCTTATTTCCCCACCCACCTTATTTTTAAATTTTTATAGACAAATTTATCCATTTGTAAAATGACTTTTAAGGACTATCTAATTTTCAGACACATGTTCAATAACTGAAAAAACAAAAACTAATTATTTAAAAAAATAAAAAATAAAAACCCAACAGCCACCAAATCTCCCCCACCCACCCGGCTTGTCAGCCATCCCATCCTGCCGGCGGCGACCCCTCCCCCACAGCCGACAAATCCTCCTTTCCTCTCTATATCTCTGTATCTAAAGACCTAACTTAGTCGAAACGTTGGTATGGAATCTCCTCAATCCCAAATCCCTACTTTTGCCCCTGCCCCCCCCACCACTCAACCACACATCCGAATCCCACCTCCTCTCTCCTTCTTTTCTCTCTTACCCTCTCTCTCTTCACCCTACTATCTGTCTTATCTTCCCCACGCCCCCATCCCCCCTCCCCCTCCTCCTCCTTTTTTCTCCTTAGTTCTCTCCTCCCTCTTCTCGACAGCCACCCCTATGAGTGAATTGATTCTTTATTTTACTTTCTTTGTTATTTGGTATGGTTTTAGGTTGAATAACTCAAAAGGGTTATTGGGTTTTGGATTGGCAGGGGGTTGAAGGCTAGCATGCTTTCAATGAAAGCAAGGGCATGCTGTAGGGACTTGGGACTAAAGGGTGTGTTTCGGGATTTATTTGGAATTGTGATTGAAGAAGAAGAATAAGAAGAGGTTGCTGGGTTTGTTTGGGTTTTTTTTATTTAAATTTTTTACTTGATTCTGTGTTTTTGTTGAAGTAATAATGAAAGGATATTTTAGGAATAAAGATGGGTGGAAAAATAGGATTATATTTTTTCAAATTTACATGGAGGGTGGGAAGATAAGGTGGGTGGGAAAATAGGACAATGGGGTGGAAATAGCAGCACTCGCACATTATTATTGTGCACACCATTGTAAACAGGAAAAGGTAATAAAAAATACATGACGTCCATGAAGATTCGATCATTGTCGTAAGGTTTGTTTCTTTTATATCGATATCATTTTAAAAGGATTTAACTGTACATTTCAAATCACAGTATTATCCTATTTGTGTGAAAAGTTAGCAGTTATGTTTATTTGTAATTGTCACGTGTATTTTTGCAGTTTTAACATCTCTAGAGTTTCATAATTTCGCCATTTAAAGGATTGTGCATTTTATGATTATATAGTTAGTTTTTACAAACAGTGTAATAATAAAATCATTATTTTTCTCTATTCTTTATTTTATTTCTCTTTCTGTACACTAATTGGGGTGCCTAGTGAGTATCATAACATTTTACATATATATATATATATATATATATATATATATATTACATTACATGAATTTAGATCAATACTGATTGACAAAAAAAATTGAATAAATACTAAATTACATGTTAGATCAATCAAATACTGATATTTCTATGTAATGATTCATCCTAACAAATTCGTCCATCTATATTAGTTAATTTATTAGTCTAGTTATTCTATCTTGGAAAATGTTCCGAATTCAATTTTCCCTTCCCATAAATCAAAGAAAAAGGAAAATCTCATTTCTAAAAATAATCTACCAAACACCTTTTTATAATTTATTGTATTTCTCCCTTGTATGAGAAAATGATTAAAAATTCCTTTACACAATTTGCAATGTTAAATAAGTTCAAGGCGTTTTAAATTGTTTCTTCTGGTTCATCGACATAACTGAGAGTGACATGAGAGTTATGTATGCAAAAATAGGACCGTGAGAGTTATGACATGAGAGTCAATGTCATTGTTGGAGAGTAATTGGACCTGCTTGTTCAATTTTGGAGGAGCTTGACCATTTTGTCTTCGTGCCCTCCTATTTTTCCTTATATGATAAGAGTGCTGCTAAACGAACCCTAAAATTAATTAGGTACACATCTAAGTACACCCTAATATTTTAATCAAAATATAAAATTAGGGTTAATCGTTTTATTAGTCCTTGAACTTAGACCCAATTTGCATTTGAATACCTTAATTTCCAAAATGGTACTTGTGGTCCTTTAACTTCACTTTCGTTAGGACAAATGGTCCTACCGTCAATTTTGTTAACTTTTTCTGTCAAATGCAGGGGCAAAATGGTATTTTTATATTTAAACCAAAAAAATGAATAAAAAATTATATCTTTAAAATAACAATAAAAGAAAATCAAATAAAAAACCGACCAAAAAAAAAATCAAGTTTAGGGGGAGTAGAAATCGAGATAGATGGGGAGAGAGAGTTTAATTTTAATTTTTTATTCATATTTTAATCAATTTTGATACAAAAATACCATTTGGACCCTGCATTTAACAGAAAAATTGACAGAAGTAACAGTGGGACTAGTTGTCCAAACGAAACTAAAGTTAAAGGACTACGGGTACCATTTTGGAAATTGAGGTACTCAAATGCAAATTGGGTATAAGTTCAGGGACTAATAAAACGATTAACCCTATAAAATTAACTAAATACACCATATTTAACTACCAAAAATTCCCTTGGTACACTCTAATCCTAAACGAGATTTCTCTTTTTACATGAATTTATGTCCTCTTTTTAGATTTTGGATTTGCATCAAAATCTTTAATTTCATAAGCTACTGTGAGAATATATTTGCTAACTCCTTTAATTCAAAGCTTGATTCTTGTAAATTCTGGTGACCGTCCACTTGAAGCAGGAACCAAGTTTGAACGCTGCCTGATTCTTAATTCTAATTTCAAGTTGAATAATGTTGGCCTAGTTCAACACCGCTGTCACAAATTTCTGATATATGTCAGTGACTTGTTGGGGCTTTCTTCCCAAATTGATACGTCCAATGATATGCTGGTCTATTTGGTGGTGTAGCACTTTTATTTAAATCTTCTCTGTGATTGATATAGCCAGCTGTCTTGTAATGTTCATCATTTGTTTACTGCACTAGGTTTTCTTCCCTTTAATTTGTGTGGGTCTCTTATAGGACCAGGAAGTTGTTTCAACATCTTTTCTACAAAGCTCTAATTTTTCGATGGAGGTTGATAAGTGTTTGTCTACCTGTTTCTCTCATGGCTTAGCCATTTCGTTCTCCACTTCTTTCTTTTGGTAGGCTTTTTTTTATATTAAAATTAGAGTCTACTTATTAAAATTACATTTGTTTTACAATTTAATATTTTTTTTTGGTCATTTAATATTAAGGTACATTAGTAATTCAATAAATAGTTTAGTAGTAGGGTGTACTAAGTTAATCTTTCTATTTGGATGAAAAAATTTCAAATTACATAGAATTCTAAAATGACGGAATTTAGATTTTCTTCATTTCAATTTCTGGCAATTGAAGATTTCAGTGTTTGGATTTATGTATGTAGAATTTTATAAATGACAAAAATTGAAAATTTCAATGTTTGGATAGCTCATGTAAATTATAAATGACACAAATTAAATATTTCAAAAGAAAAAAAAACTGATAACCAATATAGAAGGTATTCCTCAAAGTATAAAATAACATATCGTTTGATGAACTAAATAACTCAACTTAAACAAACAAAGCATATTAGCAACCCAAATCACTCCCCACGTGCAATAAACATCAGCAACATACTCTCTTTTTTCTTAATTGGGAGTGCCTTCAGCATCTGAAATTGTTTGTCATTTTCTATCAGCCAAGCACATGCTTTGAGTGGTTCATTTTCACTTAGACCTTATACTGCTTGTACTTCAGCATATACCTCTGCTGGATCAAGGTTCTTAGTATAAGAATAGATAAATTCTTCAAATGATAAAACCATTCTAGCAATCAAATCAGTAATAACATCTTTGACAACACCTCTTTCCTTTGTCGAAAGAAAATCAGAAGAATTTGATGCACGATTTATATGTGTGAATTAATATTACTTTCCGATTTAGTTGTAACTCACTACATGACACGAAGAGCCAACACAACAGACTAATAGTTGTAACAATCCAAGAAAACTAGAAAACAAAGCATATAGAAAGTAGAGAAGACAAAAGCATCACACAAAGCGACAAAGCTAGAAAACGAATATAGAGCTGCACTATTAACACACATCACACACCAATATCAATGGGCAGAGAGTATTTTGTTAAAACTTCCCAAAATCTAGCCATAGTGCCGCAAAGATCACAAAACCCATTCATAATAATATATTCATAAATTTAGTCAGAAACACCCAATTTTTATAGCCATTTTAGAAAGCATGGTAACCATAAAATAGAAAAACATAAATTGAAGGAGAGAAAGGCTTGAAGACTAACCTTTAGATTTGATCCAGAGCAACGTATAACTCAAGAAGAACCCCTTCTCCTTAGCTTGCAACTTTTTTATGATGCCTTTAAGCGACAAGGCTCGCAATCTCTGTTTTCCAGGGTTTTATCATAGGTTTTTAGCGTTGTTTTTTATAAGTTTGGCGCCTTTTTTTTTTTGTTTTTAATGAAAGTTTGGCAATTTTTTTTTAATTTTTAAATGTAAGTTTTGGCATACTGGAAAATATGAATTCCTGCACTATGAAAATTGTGAAATGACGCCTATTTTGGTGGAGATTAAACTCGGGAATTTGATGCCTCAATTTCCACGATTTTTTCCGCTCGTCATTTAATAAATTCCGCGCTTAAGTTGCCAAACAAGGGAATTTTCAATTTCTGCTCTTAAATTCCTGACTTTTAGCTAAATTCAGAGTTATTTTCCATCATCGAAACGGGAGGATTATGATTCGTTTAGCAGTATTCTATGATAAAACCCCTTTCTTGTATTGCTTTTAAAAATAAAATAAAAAATAAAAAAATTGTTTTGAATGAAGAATCGGAGAGAAGGGAAAGGGAGGTCTTATTGACCAAAAAAGAGAAGGGGAGGCGGGTCAGGAGAAAGAAGAGCGAGGTAGAGATGGGGTGCGCGTGCAAGTCCTTGTTCATCCAAGGAAGCATTACTCCACCTCTACCACCTAGTTACATCCGTGATAGAAATTCTGTTGCGCCACCGTCATCTGCTCTAAAATCCAATCCAGTGTTGTTGCCTTCGCTTAGTCTCAAAGCCTCACAATCTCACGCTCATGGACTGCCTTGGAAACGGTTTAATGCATATACTATCCTGCTGGACAATGGCGGTTGTGACTCTGGCAACAAAAACGGCGGTGGCGGCGGCGGCGGCGGCTGGAATAATCCATTTGAGTCATCCTCATGGTGGTGGCATGACGAAGGTAGTTCCTTTTCGGGTTCTTCTGGGCAGCCTCATCATCACCCGTTTATCTTCTTATCCTTCTTCTTCTGCTCTGTGGCGTGTTGCTTCTGCCACCTCCGATTGGCTTATGCGCTGGTATCATCAGAGGAGTGTGAGCCTGTGTGGGAAGTGAGGGGAGGCAACTGGACCAAGCTTATTCCTGATTGTGTTAAGGATGCCTTTGTTGTTGCTCATGAAGTTGGTTTTGGTTCATTAAGTGTTGGGAATCTGTGGTTACAAAGCAAACATCTGTTTATGCGTTTGATGCTCCCAGAAGGCTATCCCCACTGCGTTACCAGTGATTACTTGGACTACTCTCTATGGAGAGGAGTTCAGGGGGTCGCCAGCCAAATTAGCGGTGTCCTTGCCACTCAGGTACTTCCCTCGCCTACCATTCCTATCCTAACCAACCATCATCTTTGTCCAATATTCTAACCAACCGCTGTGAGTTTGTTTGTTTTTTTGTGTTGTGTCTATAGGCATTGCTTTACGCTGTTGGATTGGGGAAAGGGGCTATTCCGGCCGCTGCTGCTGTCAATTGGGTCCTTAAGGATGGAATTGGATACCTCAGCAAAATTATGCTCTCAAAATATGGAAGGCATTTTGATGTCAATCCAAAAGGGTGGAGGTTGTTTGCTGATCTTCTTGAAAATGCCGCCTTTGGAATGGAAATACTCACTCCTGCATTTCCCCATCTTTTTCTTTTAATTGGTGCTGCTGCAGGTGCAGGGCGTTCAGCGGCTGCACTTATTCAGGTTACTTTCTGGTTTTAAGTTTGCGGCTTGTGTAGAATGACGGCTATCCTGTTCCTTCTTAAAGACATTTTCTCTACATTATAAACAGTCTTAGTATAAACATTTTTCTATGCCTTACAAACTGTTATTTTTAAAAGTAGATCTCGTGTTGAATGAACCTTTCTGGCCTCCTATATGATTTCAGTAGTTAATCACTATATGACTCCCTGCTGTAATCATCCTCACATTCATCCAATATAAAGATGTACACTTAATTGAAATTTCAAATCCATCATTTCACAGGCTGCTACCAGGAGCTGTTTCTATGCTGGTTTTGCTGCTCAAAGAAACTTTGCTGAGGTATCAAATTTTGAAATGTTTGGAAGCTTGGAAGCCTCTTACTTCCATCCATTTGAAGACAGTGTGCTATTACCTTGGTGCACTAATTATCATTTCTAAATGGAATAATTAAATGTAGGTGATTGCTAAGGGTGAAGCTCAGGGAATGGTGAGTAAGTCAGTTGGTATCATGCTTGGTATAGCATTGGCCAACCACATAGGCTCTTCTACGTTTCTTGGCCTTGCTTCTTTTAGCATTGTCACTTGGATCCACATGTTCTGCAATCTGAAATCATATCAATCCATTCAAATAAGGACTTTAAATCCTTATCGTGCAAGTAATTCCTCTCTCTCTCTCTTCAACTTTAAATCCTCATCTGTAAATCGAATAATAACTATTTCTTAGCAACCGAATTTATAATTAAATCTGAGCTTGGCTCCTGGTTAATTCGACAGGCTTGGTTTTTAGCGAATATCTTCTTAGCGGCCAAGCACCTTCTGTCAAAGAGGTCAATGAGGAGGAACCACTTTTTCCAGCTGTACCATTTCTTAACTTGAAGCCTGCAAACCAAGTGAGCTATTTTTGTCCTCCTCATTTGGCTTTTTATATTTCTACAAAGGTCACAAATTGATTCAGGCCTTGTTTTAAAAATTTCCAAATCCTTTACATGGCCAACATTGCATCTTAGTTCTAGCTTTTGAACTGGACCCTAAACTACTTTGTGACTCTTAGGTATAGAAGAACTAACCAATTGGTTGAAGCGAATCTACCTAAGATTTTCTACCCAGTTTCCTTTGCTTGCGTTTGCAATGGTTTTCTCACTAATAGTATTGCTTTCTAAGAAAAGAAATACTAGTAATCATTGTAATGAAACTTACGGAGACCTCCTTTTACACTCTTCTTTAGTGGCTTGAACAAAGATATTTCCACTGAACTCATCCTCTCAGTCATTGAGTATCTTAAAGAAACCAGACCAGCCCCTTCTTCAGTCTCACCGTCCCACCAGATAGAAGTTCAAGTCCCCAAAAAAACCAACAGATGTCACCAGAACTCACCTCAAGTTCATGGCACCACCGCCATACCTCTCTATCTTATCTTTTCTCTGTGTCAGTCCAAAGAAGGCAGTAGCTCTCCAAACCTCTCAGCTTGTAGTCAGCTCCGTACTCTATTTTGTTGTTAGTTAACTTTTAGTTATAACCTGCATGTAAGTGCTCCACACCTCCTAGCTTAGTTCTACTTCTTTATCTATTCGAATTAGGTATAGTTACTTAGGAAGATGATATGATAATCATGATGATCATATATAGCAAGATTTGCACAAGAGGAATAAAAGATTAAAAAAAGAAGTAATAATACCTTCATTTTTTGGCTGCAACAATGACAATTAATAATTTTTTTTAATTACCTCATAATGCGTGCATGTATGTGTAAACAGTCTGTCTTGAGTGCGGACATTATACAATCTTGTTGCACTTGCAACCTGGAAATGATAGTTGTTAAAAAAAAATAAATAGAAAACTAAAAAAAAAAGGGTCAATTTCAGTTTAGTATCATGAACTTTACCCGATAAGCCACATTAGCACATGTGTTTCGAAATTTTAAGAGTTTAGTACTCGTACGTTACGAAATTGTGACAATCTGGCTCCGCCATTAGGTTAACCTTCAGGAAATCCGTTAAGTGATGACGTGTCATGTGCTGGGGCCACTCTTTTTTGGCTCAGGTGGACTAAAGTATTAATAATAAAAATGTTCAAAAATTCAATTTAAAATAAGAATAAAATAAAAACTTAAAATAAAAAAGACCCACCACTTCCCTCTTACCCCATCCCAGCCCCAACCCAACAAGCCACCACCCCAACCACAAGGACCAACCCCAGCAACCACCCCTCGCCACCCCTTCCCATCTCCAGGCGACCCCCCCACCTTCCCCCATACCCGTACCCATTATCAGCAGGATTTTAATGTCATTCATCCATGTAGGATAATTGTTGGTGCCTTATGCTCTGCAATCCAGTGCCAAGTTGGGAAGTTACATCTTGAGTTGAAAAGGGTTACCTAGGCAATGCATGCATGTTGAGATCTGCCCTCCCAACCCCCATCACCCACCCACCAACAATTCCCACCCATCGGCCCCCCCCAAAAAAAAGTAACCTATATAAATAATGTTTTTGTATTTTGTGCAACGAATGGATAAACTCTGTCAGGGTTCTTTCCCTGTAACCATGTGTTTGTCAAGAATGTATGATTGATTTTTCGTGTAACTTGAGGTTGAGACGCTGTCATGTAAATGCTTGATTATAAATTCCTTTAGAAATTGGGAAGCGATGATACTTCTCGCACAATTAAGATCAGTGGAATATGTGCTAGACATTTTATGATACCTTATGATCAGTAACTAACTTGGTTAGAAAAATTTGTACATTTATTAGTTTACAGAGTATGAGGCTAGACAGAATCCAAAATAGTCCATATATGTTCCTGTTGAACGTTACATGGTCTGATTTGCATGCATTTTTAATTTTTAATTTTATTTGTTTATTTATTTATTTTTTGCACATCCAAGGTACAATCAACAGTATTATCTTCGGAAGCGAAGGATGCTGCTGTTGAAATCGAGCATAGGCTGCAGTTGGGATCCAAGCTCAGTGATCTAGTCAACAGCAAGGAGGATGTGCTTGCACTGCTCAGTCTATATAAGGAAGAAGGCTATATTTTTACTGAGCACAAGGGAAGATTCTGCGTGAGTAAATTATCCCTTTGGTATCAATCTCTGTATCATCTCATAGTCTTTTTTTTTTTTTGAATTTGTGTATTTCCTATGAAATTTGTGTAGTCAAGTTAATTACTTATAGGGAATTTAAATTTCTTAAGTTTCTAGTTGTGACATTATTTAATCATCTACTGTTGACATGATTAAGGCCTACACTTCTGTCTATGGAAGGTTTGATATTTTAACAATGGAGAATGCTCTACTACAAGTTAAAAAGGGGGCGGGCAGAAGAGAGAAAGAGAGGAGTGAATATTTTTGGATGGAAAACAAAAATAAACTAAGTGGATACATAAGACAGATAAAAGCAAGATCAGGACATCATACAACTCTTTGTTTTGCATACACATAAATTTTGCCTGCTTCTTACTTGCCTGTACACATAAATGAATGCTTGCATATGTACACACATTTGTACATATACCTATCTTTTTGAATTGTAATTTATATATTGTCATGTATCAGGTAGTGCTTAAAGAAACATCTTCTCTACAAGACATGCTGAGAGCATTGTTCCATGTCAATTATCTGTATTGGTTGGAGAAAAATGCAGGATATGAAGCAAGAGGCACTTCTGCTGACTGCAAACCAGGAGGAAGGCTGCAAATATCTCTAGAATATGTGCAGAGGGAATTCAACCATGTCAAAAACGATGGAGAATCAGTGGGTTGGGTTACAGATGGGCTTATTGCAAGACCTTTACCTAATAGAGTTCGTCTAGGTTATGTGGCCGTACCAGATGGGCTTCTTCCATGATAGTTTTGCATTGTAAGGAAATTAGGAAAGAAACTGAGAGGACACATGCCTATCTTTGAGATCATCAGGGGATCGCTCCATGCCTATACCTTCGATTCATTAGTTGCTGCAAAGCTTCACAGTACAGGTTCTCAAACAGCGTAAGACAAACTGAGAGGACACATGATGTTGCAAGAGAAGGCAGCGTTCGCACTTCATTCACCCCTCTTCTTTCAATATTGTGATTGAAGATTATTTACATAGTGGGGAAGTGATGACTAATCAATTGGTGGGCATGGCGCCTGTTGCAGATACGCCCTTTATTTGGTCTAGGTTTCAGGTCGTTGACAACTCCACTTGTAGTTTTTCATTACGTTGGCTTCTCTTTCACAAACTCAGTAAGTGCCTTTCCTTATTTAGCCGCCTTTATCAATACAGGGATAATCATCCCTAGCCTCCCCCTTCACGTGTTATTAATTTCATGTTAATGGTATTTTCTAGTAAGTCCTCATATTAAGAAAGTTGGGATTTGAAAATATCATTGGAAATTTATATTGCACTGTGTAGCATGAAATAGATGGCCTTCAGTTTCGATAAAGGCATATCCTCGACCAAAGGAACACTTACATGAAACTGGATAACACTGTTTTGCTATTCCCAACCAATAATGCTATGACACATGTGATAACTTTTCCTCATGGCATAGCGTTATTGATCAGAGATAGCAAAATAGTGTTATTCATGTTGCAATCAAGTTTTACTCCCTCTTATCAGGATGGAAACTGCAACGTTTTTACTATCTGTAGCTTGTGAATCGCCATAAAAGGGATATTAATTATTACAGTGCCGAGATTAATGAATCGCCTTATTATATCATAAAATTGTAGATGGAATGGAAGCGAGAAAATTCAGTTTCGGTTTGCATAATTTGTCCGTGTCGGCGAAGTCTTGTAAGCTAAGACAAATGGATGTTTCTTTTTCTGAGTTCAAATTGGAGCAGTGAAGCTTTCTTTTTTCTTTTTTGGGGCCTAGGAAGTAGCGAACTTGTTACCAAATTCTCTCACTTAAAATTCTCAAACTCATGAAATGATGAAAAGAATCCAAGTCTAGGGAAAAGTTAGAGAGAGAGGCTCCTCCTTCTCTCTAAGTTTTCTCTCATCTCCACCGCCCTCTTCTGAGTAGCTGGTGTCTCTCCCGCCGCCCTTCGGGGCGGCTGCTCCGCCACCTTTGGTGTGGCTACCCTGCCTCCTTTTGTGTGGCTCTTTTCTCTCACTTTCGTTTTGTCCTTTTGAAAGCCCTTCCTATTTTGTATTCTCTGTTGCAGACCCTTAAGTCTTCTACTCCTTCCTCTGATCTTTCTCTCCCTTTGTTCTACAGCCCTCACATCTCCCTCATCTCTCTTTCCCTTCATCCCTCCCCCACTCCGTCGACCTATTTCTCTTTTCCCACAAAATCTAAAATCCAAAAGTCCTCTATCCCTAAGATTTATTTGGTTTGCCACTGGATTGCTGCAGTTGTTCTACTCCATCAACCCATTCTCAGATCTCATACTTGGATCTGCACTTGTGGGTTCTGCAAATCTATGGTCAATCTTGACCACAACTTGATAGATCATTTGAGTATGACGCATGGGGGCTTGCTCTCCCAAATCCACACTCTACAGATCTCCTCTCTTGGCTCCCATGGCCTTTGCTTTTCTTGTGGCGGCGGCGGCATATCTGTGGGTGGTGACGGTGTCTTATTTTATTTAGGGTTAGATATTAGGGTTTTTGCTTCTTGTGGGCTTTTGTTGTGTTGGGCTTGCTATGTTGGCACTTTAGGTTGGGTTTTTATTTTTTTCTGTTTGAGCCTAGGCAGTAGTCTTATGTTAAAAAAAAAAAAAAAAAAAAATCTCAAACTCTTCCTCGTTTTAGGGGAGAGAAAAAATCGCGTACGGTAAGCTCAGGGGTGGGCATCTCATCCAAACAAATTTGTGTACCCATTGTACCGAATCCATTGTTTAATTTGGTTTGGTTTAGTTTAGTTTAGTTCATTTTTTATTTTTCATTTTTAATTCTTCCGATTCGAAAGGTTTGATTAATAGACTGAGTAACAATATTCATAACCCGATGAAATCCATACCGAATCGATAATTATAATTATTTTATTATTTAAATACCAATATACGTGTCAATTTATTAGTAGATGGATTATGTGTTTGCAATGTGTTTGTATATGCTTTATTTAGAAAATTCATACTCACACGGGTTTCAGTGACATGGAAATGATATTGAACATAATTGCTCCAAAGAATTGTTATTGAGGATCATACTTTTTCTATTTTAGTTTCTGTTTAATTTATTAGCTTATGTTGTCGGTTTGAACCTTGGTGCATATGTTGTAAGCTAGATTATGGATGTGACTCCCATTATGGTACTTCTTTCTTATAGTATCATTTAAAGACTGCATATCATCTCGAAAAAAAAAAGAAAAAAAGAAGACTACATGTAAGATATCTCCATTTAAACAAATTTCATGTTATTTTGTAACATTATTTGCTATTTTATTATGTATTTTTCATGTTGTTTTGTAATTTTTATACTAAGTTCTTTGATTTCCTATTTGGATTAATTAGACTATTGGTTTTTTATTTTTTACATAGATAATTTGGGGGTTATTTACTCAATGATCCTCAAATTTATACATGAGTTGTTTTGGTCCCTCCACTAAATTATTCATTCAAATGGTCCACCAGTTCTTTATTATTCGATGAATTGGTCCACCATTACATTTTTTGTGAGTTTTAGTTATTTGAACGGCACATGAGGAGAATAGGAAGGGTACATGCGACTTTTTCATAGTGGAGTTTTCAATTTCCCTTCTTCTTCTTCCTCCCTCCCTACACAACCAAATGACAGCGGTGCCAGAAGACAACCTATCAGCGCAAGAGAGATGATAGCGGCGCCGACTTCGTTCAGACATGACTTCTTCACCTTCGATGGCCAAGGTGGCAGCATGCATTGTGCTCCGCGACAAGTTACAATGGTGGAGCCGAGGATTAAGGGGAGATGGCACATGGGTGCCTTGATCAATTTATGCTATTGGATTCCTCTCGATGGAGTTGGGAAAATGGAAAAAGAAAAAAGTAGTTTCTCTTTTGTTGCTCCACGGGATAGATGCGGGATGAGATGAATGGGATATTTCTTGTTTTTATTTATCACATTTTTTTTGTCTGTTCTTCATTAAGAGAATGAAGAAATTTATGTTTTCTCAATAATGAGAGAAGAGAAGAAGGCAGAGCCACCCCACCACCAGCCCCAGTCCACACCCACTGCCCATACTCTTTGCGTTCTCCCTCTACCTATGTTTTAATTAATTAATTAATATTTTAATATAAATTAACGATTTTAACCCTCAAATTAACGACAATGACGGAATGTAACGGTATGACCAATTCACCGAATAATAAAGAGTTGGTGGACCATTTGAACTAATAATTTAGTTGAGGGACCACAATGTAATTAGGGTATAAGTTTGAGGACTAGGAATGTAAACGCTAGATCTGAAAGCAGATTCAAGGATTTCCATAAAAAATCATAATCAACAACATTACATAGTTACAAACATACAAGTTCCATCCACAATTGGTACATATAGAGCAGAACCAGAGCATCATTGTTCCCTCACAGATACACACATCAGCTTAACATATGCTCTAATTCTTTTATTGAATTACATGGAGTTTCTGACTATGTTTCTTTTTCTTTTATTCTCTTATTCGTTTAAGGAATTACATATATTACTTGGAAGCAAAGCAGCTGACCAGGTAAAGGGTGCCTAGAATGATACTCGAATATCAAGCAATCTCATCAACTGAGAAATAAGCTCTGGTTGGCCATGCCGCGCTGCTGCGGTAACCAGATTTCCATTAGTGACACAATGATCTATTGGATCCGCTTCCACAAACGTCCCCCCGACGAAACCACACGAGCCTTAATCCATGGGAATCCGGTACATTTCTTCCCTGGAAATATAGCCAATTAAACCAATTATGACATGCTAAAAAGTGCCTAATCAGAAAATAAGTACATTAACCACTAATCAAAAGAAACGGAAAAAATATCATCTCGTTTGCGATTTTAAAGAGTACTCACCTCCCTCTTCCCAATATTTATTTACAATTGAGAGGTTAATAGGTCACAACAGATCAGCTCAACAGAACCAAAATACAAAGTACTAGATGTAAACTTTTTTTTTATTTTTAAATTATTTATTTATCCCTTTTCAAGTACAATCGATAAAGTATTTCAATCTGTTTTACTTTTTCTTTAATAAGTAGCATTATATTAATGTTTTAGTGACAAACGTTTAACCACTAAATGCAGGTAGGAAATATGTTTTTTCTTTAAGAACCATACCTGCAGAACACCAGAAGCAACTAAAATTTCCAGGCCATGGCAGATGGATGCAACTGGTTTCCTGGCTTCCATAAATTGTTTCACTAGTACAATAACATCCTCATTTAGTGCCAAAAACTCTGGAGCTTTACCTCCAGGGAGTACACATATGTATATCCTCTTCCACAAACATCCCCCCTGACGAAACCACACGAGCCTTAATCCCTGGGTATCCAGTACATTTTTTCCCTGAAATATAGCCAATTAATCCAATTATGACATGCTCAAATTTGCAGCTAAATTTTTTCAATGTCGGGTTTCAGACTTTCAGTCAATCGCAGCGTTCCAAAAATGGGCCTAGGCGGCTAGGCAAGAGCTAGGCGTCTGGGCGGGCCTCCAAGGCGGGTTGGGTCTTTTTTGGGTGCTGAACCCGGAGGACAAAGCAGCCGAAACCGAAAAAATCGAAGCTTGAGTTGACGGAGAAGCGAAATGGCTGTGACTGCGATCTTTCCTCTGCGAGCGAGGTGCAAGCTTCGTGTTCGTTTCGAATATATTTAAAGGGTATAGCCGCGCACCTATAATCTTAAAATATTCGAATATATTAGTATTTAAAGAGTATAGCCGGACGACTATACTTTTAAAATATTCGAATGTATTTAGAAAGCACAGCCGCCCGGCTATACTCTTTAAATATACAATTGTGTTATATCATTTTAGGGTTTAGGGCTAAAATACCACTTTAGCTCATTGGTCTACAGTTATTTCTTCAAAGAGTTGGTTAGTGCTAGCTAGGCAGGCGCTAGGCGCCGACTTCGTTCAGACATGACTTCTCCGACTTCGATGGCCAAGGTGGCGGCACGCATTGTGCTCCACGACAAGTTACAATGGTGGAGCCGAGGATTAAGGGGAGAAGGCACATGGGTGCCTTGATCAATTTATGCTATTGGATTCCTCTCGATGGAGTTGCAAAAATGTAAAAAGAAAAAAGTAGTTTCTCTTTTGTTTCTCCATGGGATAGATGCGGGATGAGATGAATGGGATATTTCTTGTTTTTATTTATCACATTTTTTTTTATATGTTCTTCATTAAGAGAATGAAGAAATTTATGTTTTCTCCATAATGAGAGAAGAGAAGGAGGCAGAGCCACCCCACCACCAGCC